GCGCGCCCGCCGCCGCTCCACGCGTAGCCCTTCACCGTGAGCTCGCCGGGCGGCACCGCCGCGCCGGGCCGCGGCTGCGTGATGGCCGACTGCACGGGCAGCTCCTGGATGGCGGGCGCGCTGCCGTAGTCCACGGTGTCCCAGTCGACACAGGGCGCGAAGCCCTTGTAGTCCTTCTGCTGCCAGTGGCTGGGGCTCTCGGCGGCGCTCACGGCCACGCGCCGCAGCCACTTGACGTTGCGGGCGCCCACGACGCCGGGCACCACGGCGCGCAGCGGGAAGCCGTGGTCGCGCGGCAGCTCCGCGCCGTTCATCTCGTAGGCCAGCAGCACGTCGCCCGCGGCGCTCATGGCCTTGCCGTAGGGGATGGAGGCGCCGTAGGGCGCCCCGGTGCCGTCGGTGTCGAGCCCCTCGAAGCAGACGTGCCACTCGCCGGCGCGCTCCTCGGCGAAGCCGGCGTGCAGCAGCACGTCGCGGAGGCGCGCGCCGCCCCAGCGCGCCGTGCCGATGGCGCCGATGTCCCAGGCGAGCCCCTTGACGGGGCGCACGCGGCTCATGTCGGCGCGCCGGTTGCCCGCGCACTGCAGCGTCGCCGTCACCTCGTGCTTGGGGAAGCGGCTGCGCAGCTCCTGCAGCGACAGCGACAGCGCCCGCCCGCCCGGGCCCTCCACGCGCAGCCGGTAGGAGCCGGCGTCCACCGCCGGCACCGGCAGGTGGTTGCGGGTGAAGAAGAGCTCGTTGGGCGTCAGGAAGCTCTCGGCCAGCAGCTCCGGCGGCGGCTCCGCGTTGAACGGCCGCTCGCTGTTGACGCGCAGCCCCGGGTGCCGCGGCGGGTCCCCGGCGAAGGGGTCCTGGGCGCCGGGGGCCGGCGCCTCGTCGGGGCGCAGCTCGCCCACCTTGTACTCGCGCAGCAGCTCCAGCACGTGCGGCTGCTGGTGCACGGCGTAGAGCGCCCAGAAGGGCTCCAGGGCCCCCCCGGCCGCCAGCAGGATCTTGTCGGCGCCCCCCGGGTGCAGCTCCACGAAGTCGGTGACGTCGAAGACGTCGGTGCCGTGGGTCACCCAGACGCGGTCGGCGGGCGCGCGGTGCCGCCCGACCTCCTCCCGCGTGTACAGCGGGTACGGGGG